TGCATGTATTATACTGGAATAAGAAGTTTTTTTTGTTTGTCAAATGGTATTATAAGCTAAACTATACGCATTAGTCTATTAAATTATTTAATGTATTATATATTTGAGTATTTGACTGAAAAGGCTAATGCTTTGCAGTTTGATCATATTTCTCTTTTTGGGAAAGTGTAACATTAGAAGCACCAAATTATGTACATAAGATGTCGAACCACTGAAAAAACATATTTTATACATTCCTCTTTTAAAATAATCAAATGATTTATATATATATATCTACAAATGACACATCTTTTAATTTGCTATAATTTTCAGAATCGTTGGCCACATACGGTCATTATTCTCATAACTCCCCCTCCAATCGACGAAGAGGCTCGCCTCCAGTACGTGTTAGACAACTTTCTCACCTTTTCAATATTTTATCCCAAACGTTTGTTTCTACCAAAATCAACCATGAATTTTACAAATGCAACATAGACATCTTTATATCATTTCCACCAAATTTTATATCTAAGACAATGATCTTGACATTCTTAGATATCCTTATACCGAAAACAAGACGGGCTTTCCAGAAAGAACGAATGAAGCAGCCGGATCATACGCAAAAGCATGTTTAACCGTAGCTAAGGAATGTCAGATCTCATCCATCGATCTTTGGTCCAAAATGCAGCAAATTCCAAATTGGCAAACGGAATGTCTATGGTAACACTAAACCTTACTTATATGTTTGCATTTTTTCGCAACTGTGAATCTATTTAACGTGTGGTTAATTATGTTTTTGTTCTTTTCGGGGTTTAGGGATGGGTTACATTTGAGTCGGGGCGGGAACAAAGTAGTGTTTGAAGAAGTAGCGAAGAAACTTAAAGAAGAAGGGATTGGAGCTGAGGACTTAGCCGTGGATCTTCCCCTTATTGAACATGTTGACCCAAAGGACCCTCTCAAAACCTTTTATGAGTTTTGATGCTTTTTATTTATCATCATGTAGTTTGGTTTTTATCTTTGGATATTAACCATTTTAACGACATTACTTAAATCCAACGATATATTAAACCGCTCTTATTGAACTATGTTCAAATTTTGCTTTAGTTAATATTTTTCTTGTTTTGTACGTTTACTCCATTTATACATATGTTTACTAAAATGTTCATGAAATAATTAATCTGATTTCGGCACAAAATAAATCAAATAAGTTATGATATTAACATTATAGTAGAAAATTAAATTTGAGGATACCAAACATTTTTTTAAAAAAATTTAGATAAATATTTTGGAAAACGGTCACTTTATTACCAAACTGTTCGTTTTGCCCCAAAAAAATATACAACTTTTTTAGTAAGTCGAACAATACATCAATTTAAGTTGACTGAACCAAAATACATAGGTATGAATTTAGTCAATTTTAACGTCAATTTAGTGAACGTTAATAATCGTTTATTGTGAATGTTAAGCTTAAACGACGCCGTTTTAAAAACGGACAAAAAAGAAGAAGATAAATCTCAATACATTCATCCTCCATAGCTATCCTATAAATTGGGGCCATAAATAATTACGAATCCCATAATATTCTTTTTTTGGACCTTAAATAAGTACGAGTCCATAATATAATTATCTCAGTATTTATACTACAAAAACAAAAATGCATAATACAATATTTAATTAATTTTTGACTACATTCCTCCTCCACCTTGAGTGAGGGAAAATCTACGATCAATCTCCTTATCCAATACAGAAACGAATTCTTCAAAAGAGAAAGCTTTTAGAGCTCACTAACAATGGCGTCTCTTCTCGGAACTTCTCTTTCATCAATCTTGACTCGCCCTTCTCCTTCCTCAACACCTTCAATCTCCCTTGCCTGCTTCAGACCGGGTTCTTAAAAAAACCTCTCTTTAATCTCCATTCTTACATCTACACTGTTAAAGTCAGCAACTTTTTCACCAGTGAAGC